TATGATCATTGAATATTAAGTTAATATTTTCTTAATTTTTATTTTTAGTAGCATGTATTTGGTTTTGCCTATGCTTATTGTCAATTTGTACTTACATAACATCTTGTATATTATTTTATTATCATAATTTATTTCATATTCCATATTTTTAAAGCTATTCGCTGAATTTACTATTAGTAGGTCGTCTGCATACATAAATATTTTCCAGTACAGTTTTAAGTTTGCAATTTCATTGATGTAAAAAAGAAACAAAGTTGGGCCTAGTGACTACCCTGTACTATACCAAAATTCACAGAATTCCCACTATTGTTCAGTGAATTGGATTCTTCCTTGAAAGTAGCTTTTAAGCCAGTTGTGTGCTGATCCTAATATACCATAACTTTTTCGTAACGTGTCCTTTTTCCTTCCTTCACATATTTGTTGCTCTCTATAAGAAATAACATCAAACAAAGTGGTTGTTGTATTTGAATTTTCCCTAAATGCGTACTTTCATTAATTAGTTTATTTTTAACAAGGAAGTTGTTATTTGCTTATTTGTACTAGATTCGATAAATTTACTTATAACTGATGATACAGACATGGGTCTGAAATTGTCATAATCACTTACATCATATAAGCACAATTTTATAATTTTTACTTGCTTTGGGATATGTCGAAAGTTCAAAAGACATGTTAATCCAGTCTCTAATGCAGTGTACCAATTCATTTATAGATTCTTTTAAAATATTTTTGAGTTTATATTATCTGCACCAGCAGAATTCGTATTTTCTAAGTTTTTTATGCATTGATATGTGTCACTCAATGTTACTTTTGAAATTTGAATCTAGCATTAGTTTCTATCTTAAAAAAAAATACGTTGTGCTCTATTTTTGCAGATAGAATTTAACCTATAGTGGTGTAATATTCATTAAATGCATTTAATTTTTAAATTTTTTGTTTTTCAGTGATACAATCACTAAAAACATGTTGTCTACATATTGTTTCTTATTCGGCATTATTATATTTTGAATATTTTCTCAGGTTTTTTTTTGCATCATTTTTACAGAACTCAAATTTACTGCCATAGAATTTTGTTTTCTTCCTTCTTTTCAAATTAGTTAATCTGTTTAACCAGTATTTATATTTGGTTTTTATGTATTTGTCCTTATCAATTATTTGTCTTTAGTCAATTTATTATGCCAGTAGCTTTTTTTTTAACTAAATCTATAATTTCACTATCAACACGGCTTAGAATATTTATTGTTTTTATTGGTTTTTATTGCCGTGATTGACTTCACTACAGCCTCATTAATTTTTTTTTGTCAACATGTTGCGCTTATCATCTATAGTAAGCTTGTAGTTTGAACGGTAAATTTCTTCGTTAAGTAAATGCTCTCTTAATAAGTCATAATTAATTTTCTCAATTACCTGTTTTTTGTGTTAATGTTTTTGTTATAACTATTAGTCTTGTAGGAATTATTTTCGATAAATATTAATTTGTGGTCAGAGATATCATAATTTAATTGAATAATGTTAATTTCGTCATTGGTAGAATTAGTTCGTATATGGTCTAAGCACGTGTTGGATATCGGTCGTGTAATAATAATAATAATAATAATAATAATAATAATAATAATAATAATAATAATAATAATAATAATAATAATAAAAATAATAATAATAATGATAATATTAATAATAATAATTATAATTATAATAATAATAATAAAAATAATAATGATAAGAATAATAATAATAATAATAATAATAATAATAATAATAATAATAATAATAATAATAATAATAATAATAATAATAATGTTAATAATCAACTTGCGCAATGAAAATAAGTGCCTCAAGAATGATGTCATGCATAATAAAATTGAGCTAGAAAAAATGAAACAAATCCGTTTTAACAAGCTGATAGAAATTTCTGGTGTTGATGACTTACCTGGAATGGATACCACTACTATTACAAAACAAATTGTTGCAAAGACTGGAATAGTTCTGAAGGATGAAGATATCAAGTTCACCCAAAGAGCTGCTAAAACGGGTACCAAGGCTAAAACGGGTGAGCCATGTAAAATAGTTGTTAAATTTAGAGATATTAAAACAAAATCAGAAATAATTAGAGCATCTAAAGGCAAAATGTTGTGCATGTCTGAGATTTTCAATATTGCTACCAACAGTAAGAACATTAAACATATATTTATAAATGAAAAGCGTACTAGCTATCTTGGATTTTTGTTCAAAAAAGCTCGGGACATGAAAAGAAACCAAGTAATAAAATATGCATGGGTTAAGGATGGTATGATATTTATCCGCAAAACTGATAACAGCAAGACAATAAGGGTCTTGCATGAGAACCACTTGAATGTTGACTGATATAACATTTTATTTACCCATCAATACTCATGTAAATAATATTAACAGCATATCTGCAGATTTTCGGATTTCCACATTTTGAAAATCCGAATCATTAAAAATAATATATATGAATGCAAGAAGTATTAAATATAAGATGGATGAAGTCTGCCACTTGTTGGATACACTGAATTCAACAATTCACATAATTATATTCACAGAAACCTGGATACTGGAACATGAAAATGAATTAGTTAACATAAAAAATTATAGTAAAGTTTTATCGTGCCGATCAAAGCGGAGAGGTGGTGGATGTGGTATATTTGTTCATGATAATATAAGATATAAAGCGAAAGAAATTTTTTGTGATGAAGTCAATAGTCTAGTATGTGTTAATTTAAATATTGAAAATGAAATATACAGTATTTCTGCAATATATAGGCCGCCAAATAATGCCACAGCAGCAGTTGAAAAATTTCTAAATATTTTAGACACACATATGGAAACACTAAATAATAAAATAATTGTAGGTGATTTCAATTTTAATATTATCGGGCATATTAATCATAATATTGATAGCTATAAATTGATAGTTGAAACAAATGGCTTTTTCTTCTGCAACAAAAATATCACTAGACCAACCTCGGCTTCCTGTCTTGATCATATATTAATGAATGACCCTGCAAATAAGGTAAATATTTTTTCAATAAATTCGGATATATCTGATCATGTTTTTCTTACCATTGAAATTGATAACGCAAAAATTAAACAAACAAAAATTAATAATAATAATTCGTCAATTAACATACTACATTATGATAATGTCAAAAAACATATGATCGATTTCCCAATAAATATTAATACTTTAAGTATGGACGTTGATGATGTGTGTAATAAACTGACATCTGTGATCAATAATTGTAAGCAATGTTGTACGATAGAAAAATATGTTAGAAACAAATTAGAAAAATATTCTGCGCCTTGGATTGATTTAGAATGTGTGAAACTAATTGAAAGAAAAAATTATTGGTATCGCAAATATTTAGAAAATAATAATTCAATCTATTTTAAAAATAAGTATAAATACTGGCGAAATAAAGTTACACAAATAAAATGAAAAAAAAGAGAAGTTTATGATACGAAATGTTTTGAAAAAGCAGGTGGAGATATACGTAAGAATTGGAATTGTGTCAGAAAAATTATTAATAATAATATTAATGAAAAAAAAGACGATTTTTTTGGTGGAAAAATACTGGATACTTGTGAAAAACAGAATAAAATTGAAAAATTTAATGCTTTTTACAGTAAAATAGGTGAAGACATGGCAAGAATATATAACTCGATTTATTTTTCTAAATCCAGAACCAGTTCACAATTTGTATTAAAATTTATAGATGTATATGAAACCAAAAAAATAATTAGCGGGCTTTCGAATTCAAACGCATGTGGAGCAGATGGCATTCAACCAAAAATTATAAAAGAATGTAAAAATGAATTAGCAAGTACCATCACAATGCTCATTAATGCATCTTTTGCGCAAGCTAAGATTCCTGACATCCTTAAGATAAATAGAGTTATACCGGCGTATAAAAAATTGAGATGTACAGATGACATCAATAATTTCCGACCGATTTCCATTTCATCAATTTTAAGTAAAATTTTGGAAACTTACGTTAGTAGTCAGCTTGTTAATTATTTAGAAAAAAATGGATTAGTAAACAATAGTCAATATGGGTTTAGGAAACAATCGAATACGCAAGCTGCTTTGTTTGATGCTGTGTCATTTATGCAGTCTGGCTTGGATTGTAAGAAGAAAGTCGCAGTGGTATTCTTCGATTTACAGAAAGCGTTCGATTCTGTCGATAGAAAGATACTCTTGAGAATTTTATACGAATGCGGAGTAAAGGGTAATGAATACAAATGGTTTAGTAATTATCTATCAAATCGGAAGCAGTATTCAGAATGTGATGGCGTAAGAAGTAGCGTGAAGGAAGTAACATATGGAGTAATACAAGGAAGATCCTTAGGTCCTACTTTGTTTTTGTGTTTCATTAGTAGTCTCCTGAATTTGGGGCTTAGAGGTAAACCTTTTATGTTTGCAGATGACCTTGCAATAGTCTACGTTAAAGATAGCTTTAAAGATATTGAAACAGCCATTAATATTGACATGATGCAATTACATGATTGGATGAGTCAACATAGGCTCACTGTTAACATAAAACTAAATACATGCTAATAAAGGCCAATTTAATGGAAAAAATCGACATGAATTATGATAACCAATCTATTAGTAAGGTATATGTTTACAAATACTTAGGCGTGTTAGTTGATGCGAATTTAACTTGGACAATTGAAATAAATGAGCGAATAAAAAAAGGTCGCAGGTTGGCTGGGATATTTAGGACGATAAGTTCAAGAATACCACAGAAGATAAAACGCCCGTTGTATTATAGTTTGTTTCACAGCACAGTAACATATGGAATATTGGTTTGGGGTAATTCATATGAAAAAAACATGCGCATGTTGCAGGGAGTGCAAAATAAAGTAATAAAAAATCTCTTTCGGTTCGAGAATAGAACACCAACAAAAAGTATACATGAAAAATGTCGTATTCTTCCAATAGAAGTGTTGAAACAAAAGCTACAAGTTACCCATGTACATATGATGCTAACTAATAACATTAACACAAACACAAAACTAGTTATTAATAACGAAACACACAATTATAACACAAGAACAGCTAATGATTTACGAGTAACATCCTCTGCAGTCAGATTCTGTAGGCAAGATTCAGTATATAATTTGGCTATTAAGCACTACAATGAGCTCCCACGGCATTTAAAATATTTAAATATAAATGATTTTAAAAATAAAATTTATAACTTTTACTTTGATATGTTGTAATTGTTTTATTATAATTCTAATTGCATTATCTATATATATTATATTAAATTCACTAATAATTTGGCTCAGATAGACATATTTAATTACGTAAAATTCAAAAATTCATGTATTTTTATTTGTAAATAATGTTTTTTTCATAAAGCCATTTTTATTTTGGGCTCTTATTTCTAGTACTTTCCTTAAGTTTTTTATTTTTATTTTTCATATTTATTTTAAAGTTGAATTTTAGTATTAAGTTATTTTGAAATGTAATAATTATGTATATATACTCTATACGAGCAAGTTGCTCTTATGAGAAATAAATGAATTGAAATTGAAAATTGAAATTGAAATTATAATAATAATAATAATAATAATAACAATAATAATAACAATAATTATAATAATAATAATAATAATAATAATAATAATAATAATAATAATAATAATAATAATAATAATAATAATAATAATAATAATAATAATAATAATAATAATGATAATAATAATAATAAAAATAATAATAATAATAATAATAATAATAATAATAATAATAATAATAATAAAAAATAATAATAATAATAATATTAATAATAGTAATAATAATAACAGTAATAATAATAAATATAATAATAATAATACTAATAACAATAATAATAATAATAATAATAATAATAATAATAATAATAATAATAATAATAATAATAGTAATAATCACTAGGGGAATTATTCCAAATAGGTAATAATTTGTTTTCAGAATACTAAAGGTGTTTGCTAAAATTAGGAATATAAATTTGGGATAGAATATTTAAACCACGTATTTTTAAAAATAAGTTAGTTAAGAAAAATAATCATATTTTTTAATGTCATAGAATTTACCGTTAACTTCGTGCTTTTATAGAAATTTCAAAAAGCTTGCGGTTTCGGAAACATAAGGCCCCAAAAATTCCGATTTAACCAATTTCAAGAAGCGATAACTTCAGATTTTAAATAACAGTAAATTTTAATGGCCATTTTGTCTTTTTAAAGTTTAACTATAGTATGCCGCGATAAAAGAAGCAAGCCACTACCTTTCTGCGTTTGCAAAATTTGAAAATACTTATGGTTTCACTGCAATAAATAGTTAAAAAATGGCTTTTTTAGGGTTTTGCAGGGGTATAACTTCTAGGTGGCGGGGAGATATATAAAAATTATGTTCTACGGAAATAAGTTTCTAGCAAAAATCTACGTATATATTAAATTTCAGCTTTCTATTTTCTCAGCGTGTAGAAGTTTTCCAAACATGTCCACGGACGGACGGGTAGACAAAGTGAAACTAATAAGCACTTTCTTTCAAAATATTTTTGGAATAGTGCTAAAAATATAATATTAAATGGAATTTTCTTTTTCATTATAGCAATTATGGTACACTGAACCAATTAAATTTTAATTTTAAAAATAAAAGAAAAGTAATAAAAGAAAGATTTTACTATCCCAATAACATATCTAGAGATAAAATTACTTTTGAATATACCGTATTCACATCCGAAAAAATTTAAGAGAAATAAACACTATTAGGCCAGGTTAGGCTAGCCCGGCTATCTATTCGTTGAGAAGCGATCCATCGATTCGAAGGGCTTGAAGCTTCGGATAGCCCAGATGATTCCTCTTTCCGAGTCAACGGTGCCTCAGCGCGACTGGGTCGCTTGCCAAGACCCTTCTGAGTGTCGAGTCCGCTACACTCTTTTTAATTTTTCGCCAAAATTCTCTTTAGGAGGGCCTTTGTGCCCTTCTGATCTCCCTTTTGTATACCCTGAGGTATACATCTCGCGACTCCTTGGTAAGCTTTGCTTTCTTGAATTGTGCCCTAGAATTTTCCGCAGGACCCCAACTCAACAATCCACCACCTCTTAACAAAATACCAGGGCATGCTGCCTTGGAAGCATTATTAATAGCCCTCGTGAGCATATCAACCAGTTCGTCCAACTCTTCGGTCGTGCTGGGGTACGCGCAAGCCATAAGTCCCGCTAAATAATTCCCGCTAAATTGTCTAAATTTGGACCAAGTACTTATTTTACGGTTTCTGAAGATCTGCGGTGTATTCTGCTTAGCAATGAATTAAAAAGTATGTACCGGTGGTCACAAAAGCAGTACTCTTGCGAAACCTTCCAGTTGGTGACCATGTCAACAACAGATTGAGAGGCAAAAGTTAGTTCTATAAGTTCTTGCCGAGGTTTAGCAACAAAGAAATATTCCAAAAGTGACTCACCCCCTGTGTTTGTAGCTGAGTTTCCCCAGATTGAAGATTGAAGATCATTCATATTGTCGGCTATTAGGGTTTTGTCGTCTGCATATCGAATGTTGTTTATGTATTTGCCATTCACTTTTATCCCTGTTGGCATTGTTTCGATTGCCTGTTGAAAAATCGCTTCGGCGTAGATGTTAAATAAAAGCGGTGATAGTATACAACCCTGTCGAACTCCTTTTTTTATTTCCACTTCGTTTGTGATACCATCTTTTGTTCTAACGTGTGCACTTTGATGCCAGTATAAATTTTGTATGCATCGCATGTCTTTCTCATCAATAAGCATATTAGCTAATATGTCCATTAATTTGTTATGATTGACATTGTCAAACGCTTTTTCATAATCGATGAAACACAAAAATACGTCTTTCCTAACATCGCGACAATTTTGTACCAGGACTTGAATACTAAATAGCGCTTCTCGCGTTTCTGTTCCATCTTCGAATCCAAACTGGGTTGTACCCATATTTTTTTCACATTTCTTATAGATTCGATTATGTAGTATTTTCAAGAATATTTTTAAAGCGTGACACATCAGGCTTATCAAACGATGGTCATTGCATGTTTTGGCATTGTTCTTTTTTGGCAATGGTTTGAAGGTGGATTTTAGCCAATCTGTAGGGAATTGTCCACTATCGTAAATATGATTAAATAATTTTTCCAGAATCATCAATTTCTCATCATCTATAAGTTTTATTGTTTCAACCGGTAAATCATCTGGTCCAGCCGCTTTGTTATCTTTAGATAATTGTATAGCTTTTCGAACTTCATCTAGTGTTATATATGGTACCGTAAATTGCCTACTTGACGAGTTGTTATTCGAAATATCAAGTTTATTGTGATCTGAGAATATCTCTTTAATGTATTTTGCCCAGAAATCTTTTCTTTCTTCGCTATCAACAGTTTTTTGGTTTCTATGATTTACCAAAATAGATGGATTTGACTTACGATATTGTCCCGATATTTCCTTTATTTTTCTATGAAGGCTGAAATCGTTGTGTGTACTTTGTATTTGTTCGATATGTTCGCATTCATTCTTTAGCCAATTTGCTTTTTGCCTTCCGACATTCCTTTCTAATTACTTTTTGTATTCGACGACATTCTGAAATATTTTTATTTTTGTGTGTTCTTCTTTCATCCATTAGTGATTGCTGTTGTCATCCATCTTTGTTTTGGAACAGATTTCTTTGTTCCAAGAATGTTCTTAGATGTGTAATATAGCATTGTATTTACTTTATTCTAATATGGTGTTGACGTTTTCTATATTATCATTCATAATTGTATTTAATCGGTTGTTAACTTCTGTAGAAATGTTAGATTTGATTTCATCATTTTCCAAAATTTTGACTGTTGCCGATTTCTTATTATTCTTGCTAATTTGATTTAACATTAGCCTGCAATAAGTTGTGGTCTGATGGAACGTCAGCCCCCGGGTAAGTAGAAACCTTCATTATAGAAGTAGCAAATCTTTTGTTTACAAAGATAAAGTCAATTTGATTTCGCACGATATTTCCAGCATTATCTTGCGGCGATTTCCAGGTGTAAAGTCTTCTAGGTGGTAAACGAAACCACGTATTTGTAACTTTGAATTTAAATTCTTCACAGAACTCTATTAGACGGTTATCTCTTTCATTTCTTGTTCCTAAGCCAAATGAACATACTATATCATTGACTCTTCCGGTACCAATTTTTGCGTTGAAGTCCCCCATTATAATAGTCATTTCATGTGGTTTCTTTAATTTTAGTAAACTTTCTATTTCACAGTAAAACCCTTCAATCTCGTCATCATCTTTTTCTGTCGTTGGTGCGTATATTTGAATTACATTTAGTTCTACAGGTTTGGTGTTAATTTTTAATATCATTGCTCTGTCTGAGAGTGGTATAAAGTTTGTTACACATTTGCCCAGAGGTTCTGTGACTATTATACTGACACCATCCCGATGACTAGGAGAATTATTGTCAGAGTAGTAAAATTTTACGCCCTGTGCCGAACATTCACCACCGTTTGGCCACCTAGTAATGTTAAATATTTAAATAAAAGCAAAACCTAAAATGAGAGTAATCTCGTATGGCAAATATTTTAAATAAAAAACTTTAAATTGGAAACAGTAATACAAAACTCGCATAAGATATGAATTTAAATATAGCAAAATAATAACAAAAAAAAATCATAATAACTATTAATAACAAAAAATAATAAGATAACAAAATTTGATGCAAAATGTGAACTTATGGTCTTTGCAGCAAAAAATTTCATGAATATCTGTTTAGGGTTCCGGCCCAACGATATTCGTCTTTCGTCGAGCAATGTTTTGTTTGTGAAAGGAGTGTGAAATACCTAATCTGAGCAGTTTATTTAGTGAAGTAAGCAAATCGCTGAAAAAAAATTAAGATAACTACGTGAGACTTCGAGCGAAATGTATAAACGTTACAAAAATAACGGTGCTTCCTTACGCGAAATGACTAATACCTGACAAATACTCGAGATCAACGACGCTCTCTCGAACGTTGACAAAAACAGATATTTCACAACCATCGACTTGAAGAGTGGAATCTATAATATCCCACTCAAAGCCTCTGACTCAGAAAACAGGAAATTCAATATTGTGCGCTTACTCTTTGGATTAAAAAATGTGCCTCTGATTATCCAAAAATCATTTGTCAGGCCATTATTGGCGATTCATCACGAACTATGCAAAAGTCAAACTATGTCATCACGTGCCTGACATGCGTTTTTCATGGGTAAGAGGAACTCGTGCCCAAAACCACCTCAAATAATATACGTATGAACCTTTACCAGAACTTTCTAAATTTTCTCAAAAAATTAAATGCACTTGAACCGAAAGAAGTCATACCAATACATTTAAACTTTTACAAACCATTTCAACAAAATATGCTACAGGTCACCAACAATGTACTGATGTGAAATTTCAGGCCTATCACTTTCATAACGCATAAATTCGATAAAACGAAAGAAAACCAAAGAAAATAGATGTTAGCCATTATTTGGGCTCTTTACTTTTTTAAAAAATTTCTTATGGGACCCCTTCTGTTGAAATTCTCATATTGAATTTAAACATCATATAATTTTCAAAATGGGAGCAGCAACCACATTAAACCACTCTTCTTCTTTCAATATAGAAGACATGTCCTTATAAAACCATTTTATAAATGTAATTTGTAAACATCTCTAAAAAAACTTTAGCTTCAATCAGCAAATGGAATACTTGCTCCGAAGAAATAGTGGGTAAGTTATAAAATATCTACCGGAAATTTTTGAATATTTTTGCTGCTATAGGGTTTGATTCTGCTCCAATTTAGTAAATGACATAGTCCTTGAGTACGTCTTAAATATAAACAACACGAAATCACTTAGTGTTGACAAATCGCTAAATTACATATCAATCATCTTTACCATAGAGAAGTTAATGCCCAAGTTAATGGTGTTCACTCAAACTTATCAGAAATTATGAAATGCCTCGAGGCAGAAAAATATTCAAAAACTAGTTGAACGACCAGTAAATGAATATAACTATACAATACATTCGACAACTTAAAAGAAACCTATCCAACTAACTTTCCTTGAATAACCCTGGAACTTGTGAATTGTTAGATGAACTCTTTTTACCGACCGCATTATTGTATACACAATACGTTAAATATCTTTTACGTGATGGCAACAAATTTTGCATATCGAGTACAAATTCGGTGGGAATTTACTTCTCCATGGTAGAGAAGAGTAAATAAACTATTTTTAACAAATTGCCGATCTGTCGGTCTGTGTGTGCACGTGTGTATTTCAAGATCTCCTGATCCGATTTCGAAGAAATTTTATATGTAAGTTTATTTCGACCATGGAATAGATTGATTAATTTTTGGAACATACCATGCCTCGGGAACTGGACACTTTAGCGAGCATATTTTACATTTTTATTTTAAGGAAAATACGAGTATTGAATAGATATACTTGAAATTTCAGATTAGCTTCATTCGACCGTACTCGGAACCTCCTAACTTTTGGAAGAAATCTGGTGTCACCAACTGGACGTTTGTTATGGAACAAATATACATTTTCGGGTATATAAGGAGAAATAATCAACCGATTTTATTGAAATTTAATATTTCTATTTGAAGTATTAAAACAAATCTATAAATTTTTTGGAAAGATCAGGGTTCGGAAACCAATCTGCGGGCCGATTTTAAATTTTCTACTATATATTGAATAGATATTCAGAAGTAACTGAAAGTTTTGTCGTAACAAATCAATATCAGTAGTTTCCGCTTATTACAAAACAATGTAGGTTTTATTAACTTTGGCAATTTTCTTAAGAAAGTGTTTGGTTCTTGTTATAACTCAAACTTCCCAAAATTAATTTATATAAAATATTTATATTTCCAAAAGTACATAAAAATTGCCACCATAAAATGTAGTACCATTTTGTAAAAGGTGGTCACAAAGCATATTGGGAGGGGGTGAAGGTGGAGGGCGAAAGAAGTATCCGTATTTTTTGACACCTCAGTATATATTTTTAACACAATGATGTTTGTATTATATATGTATTATGTAAACATGAATAAAATAAAGAATTAAAAAGGTAAATTCAAGTTACTCTATTAAGTTAGATAATCAGAGGGTTATTACATCAATGAATGCCTGAATATTGTCGTATTTTTCTTTTCTTGGATATTCCTTTTTAAATTTTTTGTTTAATTTTTTTTTAATAAATAAGAGACAAATATTGTAATAAAAGTTTAAGAAAAATTTCCAAAAAAATATTGTTATAACAGTTTGGAAAAATTTGCATGTATTTTAAGTACATATATACATACATAATCATGTATGCATGTATTTTTTAAAGCTTCCTAGCGAATTTTTTTAAAGCCAGTTTTGGATATTTTTATACGGTTTTGAATATAGAAATAAATTTTAAATATATAATTATTGAATTATGGTGGTAAACACACAGATATAAATTTTTCAAATAAAGAAAGGTTTAGGCATAAACAAAATAATAATTTTATTCAAATATATTATGTACATTATTTATGTATTAGATTTGAACAAAAATTCCGAGGTTCCCAACAATTTCGCCATCAATCATCCTGTACTAAATCGGATGATTTCATGGTCTGACATAGAAACCTCCTCCTCCTCTGACTTGTGAAATATTTTAAAATTTTGGCGAATCATTTTAATGAATATTTTTCAAATATTTCTAATAATATTATTCCTTTAAGTAATTCTAGTAGTGGTTCTCATTCTATTTTTAATATTGTAAATGATTATTTCGTTTCATACAGCTTTTTTCAATACTTTTCCTTTTTTCCAAGATTTTAAGAAAAACCATTAAGGACAGGATTGCCAAACATCTTTCTAACCTTGATTATTTTGATAAAAGTCAATTTAGTTTACTTTGAAAAAACCCTTTGGTCAATTTGGTACGGAGGATGCTTTACTCAAATTTTGCTATTATATACCTTCTCCATAGCCGATTTCCACATAAACGCTCTATAGGTTTTCACGGTTTTGTTGCGTTAATCCTTCCTTAATTCCAACACAATACCAAAGCACCTAACCAACGGATTAACAACGAAGGAAACTCCACTAAGTCGGGGTAGTCGGTTTTCTGGAATTAGGGTTTTGTGATATTCCTCCGTGATTTTGAGATAAAACTCACCCTCACAAAAAAACCATAGAAGAATTCTTATATCTATTCTCATATATATTCCAGGCGCTGCATACTGTGAAAAGTTTTCCACACCTAGGCAACCTTCACACTAATCGCAAGAGATATCACACCTTCGCTTGATACTGAGTTCGCCATCGACCAACCGAACTGGGTAGCCCCTTAAATCGATTCGACATTCCTTGGTATCCAATACCAATCCTCCACGTTTCCACAAAAATCTTTCCAATCCTGGTTTTTTGCCGGATGGAGCGCCATTTTATATTTCCTTGTAGGTTTGCCATTCGAGCAATTTTGCTCGAAATAAATTTGATGTTGGAAGATCTTTTCTTAAGGACATTGGTAGGTCTATTCTATTTTTCGCCCTTGGAACTATGGCTGGGTTGGCTTATGAAGATGTAACCGTCTCATGACTGGATACCAGTATCTCGTTCTCAAACTAAATATCGACGTATTCTTGTCGACGTAGATATGTTTTGTTGTTGTTGCTGTTTTTGTTGTGTTCCGTTTTTGGTCCTACGAGTGTGTCCTGATTGACGGCCTATTCCGACAGAGCCCATTTACCAGGTTAAATTGTTAGAAGTTGGTAGAACTCCCAACCTACAGACCACGAAAGCTCATAACACTTTGCCCTTAGGTAGCACAAGCTACCTAGAAAGAAATGCAGAAGGCTTTGAAATAGATTTATTTCTAATTTCAACTAACCTATGAAAAAGATCTTTGTTATTAAATTGATTCTTATACAAATTTTGTAAACAAATATTAGATTGTTTAATACAAGGTGCCTTCATTGATACCACTTATAAAACAGAGAAGTTCATCTACTTTTTTCGTGTATGTATTTTATTTGTAGCAAAAAATTGGAAAGCAATTAAACCATACCTATTTTTGTTTAAAATTTATGTATTCCAATAATGTCACCACTTTTTAGAATAGCGGTTTTGCTCAAAAATTAGTAATAACTGAGAATTGTGACATTTAAAATTAATAAAATGCAAAAATATTGGCATTTTTTTCAGTTCATACTTTTCATTAAAACCTTAAAAATTTTAAAATGAAACCAGGGAGCCTTTCCTAAAAAAACCAATAAGGTTTTTATATTATATTCAGTTCGGTAGTATGAACTAGTATGTAATCGCTTTTCAAAATTAAAATATATCTTTAAGGAAATTTGTTAAGTGTCATCATTTTAAGAGAGGTCAGAACGTACTGGAACTGTTTGAACATTAGGTTAATCAGCTCTTCCGAATAGCTTCTTGATTAAAATTAAATTATGGATCTGAAACAACAGTTCAGAGTAGATAAATAAATAATAGATAACACTAATTCAGTATACCATTACTCGTATTTGTATCTTAGCAATATCAAGAACACATAATAAGTATGTATTCAGCATGAAAGCACTCTTTAACTGGAAACTGTATAGCATTAATAAAATTACAAGGTAAATCAGTGTGACACTAATACTATTGTTGGAAAGTGCGAGTTTTAAAGAAGAATAAGGTAAAAATTTTACTGTTATTTATTAAAAAATTTTAGCCTATTTACATAACGTACATATTCGATTTTAATATTATCCCTTTTTGAATCATATTTTAATGATTCATTGTTCCTGTAACCGAGCCGGAGTCCTTAAAACATTGAATTATTCCATCTTTATGCCAAAACTTGTTGGTAATTACGGAATTTTATGTCGATTTGAAGGATATGATGTTTGTATTATATATTTTTGGATTAATATTAACTATACTTATGTTATCAACATAAGTATATACAATCAACAATTTTTGATTAATTTATATTAATTATAATTTATATTAACCAAAATTGTTGATTAATAATTTTTGAATAGTAACTTAAGGCTACTTACTTTTGTGACTACCAGGATAGTACAAAACCTGAAAAATTTTTCTAAATCAAATGGAACTTACGGACTGTTTTGAGAGTTTCGTACTCTCAAATCATAATTATGGACTGTTTTTAGCCTTTAGTTTGATTTAATTGAAGGCCGAATTATTTTTTTGTAGCGTCCTTGCGAGTTTTAAAAGAAATTTTAGAATAATTGTAAATTCTGTGGTGAATCTTGTATAAATGGTTAAATGTGCTTCTTACAGTAAAATGTCAAGGAACATTTTTTACTGTTAGTAGCTCATGTTCAAAAAACATTTGTCAACAGTTTGCATTAGTACTTGGCTCCTTGGAGGATCGTAGAACTTGATCACAATATTGTATATAACCATGAAGCAGTTTCTTACGTCATTGAGTTTACTACGTAGATGAGCCTTGCCAGTATTATGTCTGTAGTTTTGAAATTGTGTTCCATTCTGTGTGTGAGATATTTTAAGTTTACTTTTTTTCTTCAAAATCACACCCGTAATGTACATAAAGATATGTTTTTTTCCTAATAAATAATAAAATAAAACTTAATATAAGAAAAGTTCTTAAAAATAATTACAGAAAAGTACATATTTAAACAAACAATTAGTTCCTTTGGGATCTAATATCTTTTGAGTAATTTATTTTAGAACCTCGCTTTGAGTTTTGTCGCACAAAATCATAAATTACCTTTGACAATAAGCACTTTAAGTGAACAATTGCTGTATACGCATAAAATAATTCGCTACTAAAATTCATGCGCGTATGTATTTGGATTTTAAAATACATGCGAATAAAATGCGTGAGTGTATAATTAGTTAATACTAATAAAATATTTCAGGTTCGAACCCTGAAAAAGGCGAGCATTTAAATTTTTTGGAAAGATTACGGCTCGAAAACTGATCTGCGAGAACGAATTGATGGAATTTCTTAAAATTTGATTTTTGAGTTCTGGTTGATTACGAAGCTAAATGGCGAGCATTTCAGGGAATTCGGGTAGCACAAAGCGAAACTCTAATATGAGCCAAATTTACATTTTTCTAGGTATGTTAGCTTACTAATGCTCTAAAAATTGGAAATAAGTATTTAACAGGCATTATGTTATAATATTCAATAACCCTCCCAAGCAGCATTTTTGTAGACTGGAACGTAAACTCTCACTAAATTTGGAAAGATAAAGTAATTGCGATATGTTATTGCTACTCAGCGGGTACTCAGCAGCTACGTGGCCGGTACCAAAATGGGGAACAGATTTTGAGTGCCTTTCTGCTACAAAATAACGTGCCCGTACTCGTAAAAAAAACGTTCCTGTTTCGTCTTTGTGTGGTTTTCGGCACTTTACGCACACATGTATTTTTTTTATAAAAAACAATACTTATAATTGGAATGAAAGAGAAAGATATTTATTACAAAAATTATTTTTTTTTAAAAAGCTACTCTTTTCTCTTATGATGTGTAATCAAAACTATACAATGTCAGAAAAAGTTATGTCTACCTAATATTAGATTTTGCAAAATAAATATTATAGGTTTTTAGAAATTAATTTCTCGGATATTTCTCAATATTTTTCTACTGCGAAGAAAATTTTACTGATAAATATGACCACAAAACTTCCAAAAAACAAGCGCCATCAAGAAATAATTATTTTTAACAAAAAAATTTTAAACATTTTTTTGATATAAAAGGTTTCCTTTCGTTCAATATAAAAAAAGTTAAATCATTGATAGCATCAAAGTTTTTTATAAACAAGAATTTTCACTGGTTAATATTTATTAATAATATAATAAAACTATGTAAATATTTTTTAATGTTATAATATATAAACGACTCTAATTTTTTGTTAATTTAAAAATTTTTGATTGTTGTTTAAACATACAATTATAATAAATTCATACAATATGCATGTGAAATATATTTATACTCTACACTTTTGAAAAAAAATTTTAACGTTATTTTATTTTTGAGGCATAAATCTATGAAGTAATTTCATATAAATTGCGTATTAGAATGCTATTAAGTTATTTATGAAATATTTCAGTTCTCTATAATAATTGCTAATAAAGTAACATGGCAACCCTTGTGTATATTAAATTTTGCAAATACAAAAAGTAAAATGTCTACTTCAACCTTTTGCAACTTCATGGTAACCAAAACCGGCCTTTGGTACTACAAAGTGACAAAGTCGATAAAGGAAGTCCCTGCAACGTAGACTGTAGTCACAATGTGTGATATGTCACTAAAAAGTTTTTAGTACCACATTGACCCACTTCGCTACCTAAAGTTTAAAAAGGAAAGCATACTTGGAGCGAGCGGGACAACACATATTAAATTTTGATTCACACTTAAAAATTATTGTTTATATTTTCATTTTGCATCAGTACAAGCGCATTAAATTCAATGTATTTATATTTTGTTTTCTTTTTTTGGAATTACGTATTTAAGAATTAATTTTAAAAATATTGGTATAATGTCGGGAACTTTTAAAATTGTATCAACCAAAAAGGAATGGTGATACTTATTTTATTGCAATTCCAAACAATATTTGGTGTAAATAAATACAAATGAGTTTTTGTAAAAAAAAACTTTATCGTAGCCAAAACTGCTTTGGAACTTCAAAGTAGCTTATGCTTTAAGTAATGGGTAGTAGATTCAAAAGGTTTTTGGAACGACAAAGTTTTTTTTAAAAGTTGGGTTATAGTGGTCCCAAAATTAAGTAAGAATTTAGTTTTTGGAACTTAAACAGCGACGTACCAAATGACAAAATTATTATGTTCATTGCGACGTTCCGTGATGTCATGAAAATAACTATGTCGAGAAAGTAGCTATTAAAGGTAGCAAAGACGTTATTATTTCTTTAATATTCACTACATAGAAGCAATTTTTTTTATTTATTTTTTCTTACTATGTGGTCGCAAATTTTAGTATTCGCTACGTTTTCGCCACTTTTTTTGTGTCAAAAAAGTTTTTGTGACTTTGTATTAGACTTTAAAGTAACAAACACCGGATTTGCGACTAATTTTTGACCCAGTGGAAAATAGATGGCATATTGTCACTACTATTGCTGCTTGGGCTTTCACTTAACTAGACATTTAGATTTCATTCAACTAGACTAGAAAGTTTTTATTGATAATTTTATTTTTTCTTGTTCTTATTTAAATTAAATTAAAAAATCTTTACCATTCCAAACGAACATCAGCGAGTTTCCGTTCTAAAAATTTTTTTGAAAATACCCTATTTGTAAAAGTTTAATGCAATAAAATAATATTTTCTTATTAAATTTCGTCCTAAAAATATATTGTCCAGAAATTTAATGTATTGTCAAGAAAGATTTAATTAACTCTTTACAATCTTCTTAAGAAAGTATTCACATTTTATAATATATA